AAATCTCACATGGAAGTCAATTGAAATCTTTGTTAATTAGGATAGTTTCACTCACGTTAGTACATTGTAACAACTAATTAGCAATGCTAAGCTATACTAATGTCTCACAATGTATCCAAAATAATGTACAGAACAATCCGGTAGAATTATTATTATTATTTTTTTTCATTTTATTTAAAATGAGTTGCAAAAAGTCCTTTCTGCTGTTTGGTGGCTTAATGACTTTTGCCCACGCATTCTCCTCGGAGAAAAGACAAAACCACCTTTTTCTTTGTTAAAACATTTGGGTCAAAGGTTTGGGAATTTAACCTGCCGGTGCACAGGTAGTGATGTGTGGCAAATTGAGGCCAATGTTTTTCATTTTCCCTGCAAACTGATGTCAAGAGGGGAGCAAATGGTGTGAAGGAGACTGAAGACGCTGTGGGAGAGGAGAGGGGAAAAGAATCTGGCGCGCTCAAGGAAGGTTTCTGGAGAGAAGAAAATGTCCTTCGAAATGGCTCACACTGAGCAAACAGTAAGAGAAGGAGCATCAATTAAAGCTAAAGTAAAATAGTGGAAAAAAAACTACATAGGAATGACATTTATCTCACACAAATAAATGAGTTGTACCTGAGGTTTATTGTGCTAACCCAGCAAATTTCAAATTTATTTATATGACCTGTTTAAGAAGCAAACAGTTGACAATATGACAATATGGAGAGTTTCAGGGGTTTTAAAAATCATTAATAGGATTTTTTTTTTCAGGTGTTTCGCTTACACAAAAGAATGTAAAACAAAAACTTAATTTTAGTCACATATGACCACATGTCGAGCTTTTACTTTTCCAGATGTGCGTCTTCTACAAAATTGTGCGATTGACAAATACATTCACATTAAATTCATTAGGTTGCCAGAAGCTGCTTCTTCTTCTACTAATAATTTCTGGCAGGTTATCATCGTTTAGCCTAAAAAAATCCTAAAAATTATTTTTTTTACAGGACACAATAGCAAAATGTTTATTTAAAAAAACTCAGTGGTTACGAATTCTACTTTACGGTGCAGTATATCCAGTGGGTTCTTCAGTCATTACGTCCTTTTGGGTGTCGGGGAGAGGTTGGGTGGGGGTCACGGTAATAAACCATTTGGTGTCCTCCCTCTCGGGCCAAAGCAGAGTGAGCAAAAAAGCCAATGTCAGTCGAGCTCTGCAGCAGCCGTGCTTTAATAGACCCCTAAAGAGGTCAACATTCGTTGGAGGGGAGCTGCTTTCACAAAGTGACTGTAGAAAGTCAATAGAGAGGATAGAACGAAGACGGCCTCTTTGTCCAGGGGAAATAATGCGATCTGCCATGATTCATCGCTCCTACCGCAAACATTACCTAGTATTACAGAGATTACTCTGCTGAAAAACACTGGACTGGCCTGGCTCAGCTCCACGCGTTTGTGATCTGGCAGGGTGGTGGTGTATAAATTTATTTGAGATGAGATGCTGGAAGCAAGCCAGGAGTCTGACAGGAGGAGTTAAACGGATCCATGATCAAACCAGGGCAACCGGTGGCAAAAAGAAACAGCTGGTGTCCAGCCACTGAAACGCCAACAAGCTCCAATCTCTTTGCTCAATGCAAGCGACGTCTTTCAGAAAACTGACCAGGCTTAATCATGCTAATGCTTCGGGAAGCCCCGGCTGCTTTTGATATGAGGGAATACCTTCGAAGGTGTTTGGTAGCGCAGCATTGATAAACATCAACGGAAGAACAATCAGAAGCATGAAGAGAACATGTCAGCGAGAGATTTACTCTAACGGGGTGCTGTCGTCTAATCTCGCAAAGTGCTTAATGTTCTGTTGTTTTATTAACTTCATAATCCATCAGCGTGCGTGAGATCAACCCACGAACGGAGAGGAAAGGTTGCATTGAATCAAAAGTGCAAGCGCAGCACAACAGACAGAGAAACCCTGGGATAAAGGTTTAGGTGTCTTTCAGCAGATCAAGCAGGCGCTGACTTTTGAGTCCGATAGTGCAGCTGAAAAGACATGACATATTGTCAAGTCTTTCTTTAGTCTTTCTTCTTTCTTTATAAATTCTTAAGTTGTAATTTAGATAAATTAACGTGTAAATTTATTGAGGATATTGTAGCTTTTACATAGTGGCTAATAGACGAGGTTAGTTATCTCTGTAGTTATTCTACTTGAAGAAAAAACTGATCACTTTTTATGACTTTCTTCTACTCTTCAAATTGAATAATTTGTTATTACTCCAACTGTTAATTTTTGGTTTTCTCTTGTTATTTTTCACTCCAAAGCAGCGACACCTGGTGTAGCATTCCGTTTGGTCGTAAGATGAGATTATGTTGCCATCAACTAATCTCTTCTGATACGAACGTTTCGCTTTCATGAACGATAATATAAAAAATATTAAAAATAATCTATTACTTGCGTTTTGCACGCACGTAAAAGATCACACGTCCTGTTTGTGAGCTACCACGCTATTTTCTTCTTCAGTGCATCTCTCATGCAAAGTTTAATGACAATAAAGATCATCTGAATCTGAGATTTTTAAAGTTGAGTTAAGCTTGATTGACAGTGCTAAGCCCCTCCCCCTGGCTCCGATTGGTTGTTTTGTGTTTTTCCTCTGACAGCAATAGCAGCTCTGGGAGGTGGAGGACATCAATCTTTTCACAGATTATCTGTCTCATATCATCCTGTCAAGACATGGTAGTAGTTAAAATAAGTATGTGTGAAAAAATTTAATTATAAAAGTTTGATATCGCAGCTTAAATGTTCACCCTGACATGAGAATGCTGTCTGAAATATTTTCCTGTCAAAGTCGAAAGACTCACAGTTGCGGGGTTTCAACCTGCAGAAAGGCAGCGCCAACACACACACACACACACACACCCACCCACCTCCCGCGCACCTACACACACGCGCTCCTGTTACGCACCCACCCAGAGATGCACCGCTGCTGCAAAGCTGCCGCCCGGCAGGAGGTCAAACAGCTGGACACTGCCTCCCGGAGAGGCTGCAGCTCCTGAGGAGGACGGCGACCGGCACCGAGCTCGGAGAGGAGGCTGCCCGTCCGCTGGGGAACGCACGCCGATCCGGAGCTGACTGGTAGGCTCCTGATCACTTTACAGCTGCTGCATTTTGAGCACATTTATATTCTGGATTTAACCCAACCAGCCTCACTTATATTTGTCTTTTTAATCTACTTCAGCTGCATTTTTGTTACATTTTGCAGTAGGGTCTTGTTTAAAAACTCATTTTACTCTGAAACACTTAGAAGCGGCTTGCAAGAGTACTCACATCCTTTCAAGTACTTCTCTATTTTTCAACTCTCCATGAACGTTTATGGTTGTCGTCCTGCTGGCTGCTCTTGACTTTTATAGGCTTTACTTATTTTATTTTATTTTACAACCTTTATCCATCATTCTATCAACTCTTACCAGATTAATTGTCTCTGGTGAGGAAAAGCACCTTCAGGTTATGATGCCGCCAGAAGCAGGTTTCACTGTGATGATGACGTCTCCGCGGTGACCAGAGCACCTTCCTCCTCATTACCTCATAAATCTGTTTCCGAGTTAGAGTACTTTAGCAACTGTTAGTTGTGCTTGATTTTATTCACGGGTATCAGAGTAAATGTGCCAAAAATAAAAATAAAGAATTCCAGGTTTAAAAGTTTTATTTGTGGAAAAAAAAGTTCAAATATGTAGAATTTTCTTTCTACTTCTGTATTAAGGGGGAAGTATTAAGCTTTTTCCAGCCACATGGTGCTGCATATTATATCAAATACGACTTAAAATAAATTTGACTTTGTAATTTAACATCTCAGAATTTGGGCTCTGTCTCTTTAAGAAACTCCTCCTTTTTCTGAAACTCCACCTCCTGGAAATCATCACAACACGGCTCCTTCATAAACCGTTTAGCGTTTTACCAGCGTTTCACTGAGATGTAGCTCCTATAATAAACCCAGCAGGTGTGCAGTTCCACCAGGTGTTTGCTAATTGTTGCTGGCTAGCCTGAAGGAGCCGAGGAGCTGAGTTGTGACGGAAAGGTGCTCTTTATGGTGGAAACTTTGTCCTTGAAGCCAGAGGTACGTCCACCTAAGCGTTTTGTGCAGGGTTGCCAAGGGAGATTAAAAGATTTCTAAAACATGCATGGAAGAATTAGGGCAACAATCTTTAAAATGTCTTCATATTCTCAGCAGCCAGCAGGGGGCACAACATTCCATATGTCTCCACATGCTGTAAAAACTACAGAAAATCTGTTTGAGAAGAAACAAAGAGATATTTTCACCCCCCTCCCTTTCTATTGCTGCCCTGGGCAATTGCCCATATGAAACCTTTCCGCAAACAGCAGCTGGCTGAAGGGATGTGAGTACTTTTGTGAAGCCCAGGATGTTTTGCCTGGTTATCAGTCGTTTACCTCATTTATATTCTTGTCATTCCTGCCGTGAAATCTTTTCGTTTGACATCCATCATCTCCGTCAGATCTGTTCTCCACACATGCAAACGGGGCAAACGAGGCGCGTGTCTTGGGGTGATTTTATTTGCTCCCTGACCTTCGTTGGTCACAAACGTCCCGTTTAATCTCACAGATTACCCACAGCTTTGTAGTCCAACACAAATCACTTTTTCCAAAGTTCATCAGCTGCATATTGATGAACCCACACCTTATTTAATGGGATGTAATTTCCAAAGAGCATGGTATTATTATGATAATGCTGAACTTTTCTGGCCTCTCCCACCCATTGGAGAAAGACAATATGGTTAGAATTCCCTTTGCTCGACATGGAAAATGAATTACACGTTCATTGTCACCCTTTGTGTTTCTTTCATTTTCAGGTTTCTTCCGGTTGGTGGAGACCAACTCTGAAGTGACAACCATGGATCATCCTGTCAAAACGATTCCCTCTCTCTTCCCAGGGGCAATCGTTGTTCCTTTACTTCTCATTTAAAGAGTATGCAAAGAAGGAATGTCCCGGTAAATCTTGAAAGGACTCACAGGATTTTTGACTCTACAGCTAATGGGGGTTTCTCAAAGGCGCAGAAGCTCCACACGACGTCCTGGCCGAGGTTCTTATTTCTTTGCAGGAACTTTGCTGCTACTTTCTTTTGTCGCAGCGAAGGGTTGCCCGAAGATTTGCCACTGCTCAGACAGGAGCGGCATGGTGGTACAGTGCACCTCGCGCAACCTGGAGGACATCCCGGCCAACCTGCCGAGGGACACTGTTGTCCTCTTGCTGTCGTCAAACCGGATCAGGCACATCCCGAAGGAGGCCTTCGCAGACCTGCAGCGCCTCAGGGAGCTGGATTTATCGCACAACTTGCTCGAAAGCGTGGACGACGACTCCTTCCTGGGAGTTTTGGACAGCCTGCGGACCTTGGATCTTTCCAATAACCAGCTCAGCGGACTCCCAAGGGGAACCTTCACCAAGCTGCACGCCCGGATCCGCCTCTCCAACAACCCCTGGCACTGCGAGTGCTCCCTCCAGGAGGTCTTAAGGGAACTGAGGATGGATCCGGAGACGGTCAACGAGGTCAGCTGCCACACATCCGTGCAGGAGGAGTACGTGGGACAGCCGGTGATCCAGGTCTTGGACTCGGGCATCAACTTTTGCAATTTCCACCATAAAACAACGGATGTGGCCATGTTCGTAGCAATGTTCTGCTGGTTCTTCATGGTAACGGCTTACATTGTCTATTATATCAAACACAACCAGGAGGATGCCAGGAGGCACATGGAGTACCTAAAGTCGTTGCCCAGTATGTCCCATATCAGCAAGGACTACGACACGGCCAGCAGTGTGTTTTAGAGGCGGAGCATAAAAATGCTTTTCTGTAGAGTTATGTACTTGGGATGCACAAATTCACTACACTTCACAAGATTGATCCAACTAAATAACTTATTTGTTGCACATTTCAAATTTGAGTATTAGAACGAGACAATGTGAATAAAAAGAAAAAGTAGTGTTTGTGAAGTAGGCTACAAGTCCACATAATGCAACAAGATAGAGAAATGTGAGAACAAATTAGAAACAAAGTCAATCACATCTTTCAGCCTAGAAAGGGTCAGTCAGCCATTTCTGAGTGTCCAGAGTTGTAGTGAATGTTTTTATCTGTAAGATCTCCAAACAGTTGTCAACAAAAGGTAGCAAAAACAGGTATTTGATGTAGAGCGCTGCTGGTTTTTTAACAAAGATTTAATTGGTTTGGAGAGCTTTTACTTTAGTTCAATGAAGATATTATTTCAAAACTGCTTCTTGTAGCTGCTCAGGTATCGTTAATATTAAAATATCTTATAGAAGAAATCTGGGAAGGAATAATGAAGACATAAGTGCAGATATCATCCTGAACTTTGAATACAAAGGCGGGAAAATACAGAATTAGCTGTTTGACAGACTCACTGTAGTCTGTGTTCACCCACGCATAAATACTAACAGTATATTAAGTGTAAGAGTTTGCAAACTGAACGACAATTGAAGATGAAGTTGAAGTCACACTTTCCAGTCGAATGCCTACTGGCTGGCTTTAGACGGGAGAAACTTTAGTCACTTTTGGAAATAAAAACGATAAAATGCTCGTACTAAAATTTGGTCGTTGTTTCTTTGGTTGGAGATAATAATCTGATTCACAAGTTTAAATTTGTGGCCGTTTGCTAATTCACACAGGGTCAAAATTCTGAATACAATTGTACAAATATGTCCATGTACCTCCCATTGATATCTGTTACCAAGTGGCACTGTAAGCTTATGCCTTTTGAGCCCATCAACAAACGTTACGAATGAACGAATATTGACTCACCCTTTCTCAATAGAGTTCCATGCAAAGACTTGGCTTGACCATAAGTTGCTTCTTCACCATTAGCACATTGAGCAGCACATACACAGGGTTGATTGACAGTGCTAAGATCCTCCCTCTGGTAATAGTGGTACTGGAAAGAGGTGAAAGAGTTTTTAAAAATTTCAGATTATTTGTCTCATATTACACTGTCACAACATAATGAGAGTTTTCACAAAAGAAAAACTTTTTTTTTTTTTTTGCAGAATTTCAACCAGGTGAAGCTAAAACTACTTGAGGATTTCTAGGTAGAACATATTTAAAGAAGAGGGCGCTTTTTTGTCTTGCAAAACGACAGTTCTTGCTCTGGGTATATTGTTTATGCAGGAAATGTACTGTTTAGAGTCTATACTCCAGTTTACAATTATTAGATTACGGAATGTTTTAACTGGCTCGTCACGATTCATCAAATCAATTGTTTCAACCTCGATTTCGAATGAACGTGACAAATTCAGAAAGAATCTCACACAGAACAAATTGGTCAGACACGCACTCTGTGTTGTCAAAAATTAACATTAAAAAAAGAACGAAAGCAGCATTTTTGTGACATCTCTTCTCATAAGTGGCAAAGAGGGCAGCAGGTCAGAAGCGCGTCGAGCACCACCACAGTAATATATTCAGCTGCATTTGTTTAAGAACGTAGGGCGAGACCTCATTCGCCTCAAAGCCGACACGGAGCCCGGTCGGGCCGTAAAGTCGCAAATGCAGGAGCTGAGATTCGGATGGACAAAGGCTCATCTGTTTCAGGGGCAGGGTGATTATACAGCAACAAAAACCCTGAACAGAGTCTGCGTTACAATCTAATCAGCGAGGGATCTTTGACAAACTGGGACAGCAAATGTGCGCGTGGCATATATTCTGATCGTGTTATTTTAGGACAATTAAGCCGTTTTCAACATTAATCACGCTCAGAGGTTTTCTTACCTCAAGACAGTAAAATAAGGATATATTTTAACAAAACATTCAAGGATCTTTTTATTTCCACGTCATGAAATAAGGAAATTGTCACAAGAACAAATTCAGAATGATTTAATATCTTGAAACAGTGACTTAGTGAAACTCATCAACTCAAAATTGCAATTATGAAATCAGGAAAGCACATTTCGAGGCGTTCTTTTCAAGTCACAAATATTCTAAAATTTTATTCGATGAGCGCTGCACAGCTGGGCACTTCATTCCTCCCGATTTCACTGGGCCAAATATGGAAGCCATGCGTCTTCAAAAATACACATGTGGATGAATATTAGTATCTGTCCCACAGTCTTAAAATAGCAATCTTCCACCAACAGTGTGAGTCCATAAATCTAATGAGTCATTGAGAAGGGCATTGCAAGGATGGTAGACTTGGTATCTCATTTATATAATACTTTAATTACATGATTTATCCATTTATGCCATCTCCCTGGTGGCCTGAGTATTATATATGCCTGCCAGAGGCTCACATGTTGTATAATATCAATAGATTTCTGACCTAGTGGTTGCTAGAGTAAACCTTTGAGCTGTCCCACGGTAATAATTAAAGCCTGCATTACTTAAAAGTCCCGAAGACTGCAGTCGACATCATAATCAAGTGAATAATTGGCAGCGACAGCGGAGCTGCTCGTCGTCTCGTCATTAGTTTCCACCGCGACAAGCTTTGCAATGTTAAAACGATCGACTTGGAATTGAAGCGAAATATTGGAAGCCGCTTAGATAGTAGCAGTTATTCTCTTTGCTTTTAGAACCGGATCTCTACGGACCTGCCACTGATACTCGACCAAGAATTTGATCAATAGCAGTTCCGATGCAGGCATTAATATCGGATCGGTGCATCGCCGGTTCCCGATACTCTGGCGACCAGAACTGTAGTTTTACCAACTGTACCTATTAGTGTAAAGGAAGAGTTTCACTATATCCAGATGCCAAGAAAAGCCGCCTTGTCTGGTGTAATAATGTGAACCACATCTTCCTATTTAGCCGGTGTGCTTGATGTTCACTTCGCCACGTTCAGCCGAGCAAAAGCGGAATTTCTTTCCTCTCTCTTGGCCGTTTGAGAATGTTTGCAGAATACCTAACGCTGCTCCGGTCGCCCTTTTGTCTCCGTGTGCGTACAGTGACCTTCGGCTTAAATAGGAAATGCCAGGCGGTGGAGGTTTATGCCTCGTCGTTTCAGTTTCTCTCGTCATCGCCTTCAAGGTGAATCTATCTGGGGACAGCTCAGGTGTTGTGGATGTATCTAAAAAAAATAAAATAAATACATAAAAAACTAACTACATTGTAACGCGTGCAGTCAGTGAACCGCTCCACAGAGTGAAGGCACCATGAGAACTCTGTTGCGATACATTTTGTCAATTTTGTGGAATTACATTAAAGTGGCGAATGATCATAAGCGCCTGTCACATGTCTCTTAAAATTGCCTCTAATTTATTAATTTATTATAAACCAACGTCATACTTCCAATGCTGGATTTTAAAGCTGAACATCTGCCCGGCTGACACAAATTGCTGTGTGTGTGTGTGTGTGTGTGTGTGTGTGTGTGTGTGTGTGTGTGTGTGTGTGTGTGTGTGTGTGTGTGTGCGTGCGTGCGTGTGTGTGTGTGTGTTCAGAACACGCACCAAGGTTACCAGAGAAGAAGCCCGAGTTTATTTAAATCATCGAGCTTTGGCAATTTACACACAGTCAAGAGTCAAACTTCACCTTTAGAGGTGACGTCTGAGGCACGGAGCTGTCTTTTTATACATCACTGTGTCAAGGATGAGATATCTGCAGCAAAAATGTTTATGCAGAGATATCCTTCAACTCCAACCTCTATTTTGTTTGGGGTTTTTTTGCGCGTTTTTGCAACGTGCTTGCCCACTTTAAGGTAATTATTATAATAATAATTATTATTATTATTAAAATAATGTGATTATTGTAGAGTTAGAGTCAAAGATGTCACCGATGTTGCGTCTAAACGTCTTTAATGTTGAACATAAGAGCAACACATTCAGAGTGCAGAACAGAATGTCGTCAGCTCTAAAACGTCACTTCCCGTTCTACTCCAACGTAACCTTACGCATCAAATGTTGAAATTTTAGTGCTTTTTTTTTGTCTTTCAAATATTTCCAAAGTTGCTTTGTAGTAGTTCAACTATATTCCTCATTACACATCCTTTTCGACAATGCCACAATATATATTTGTTTGTTGCTCAAATGAGCCTTGAGATACGAACATGAAACAGGAGTAAATATTAAATATAGAGCTAAATTTTAAAAAAAACGATAAAAAAAGTGTCGAACTTTCTCACGACACCGTCACTTCCGGGTTCCGTTGACGAGGCCCGTTAGAGCGCTATGGCGGGCCAGATCTGGCCCCGCGGGGGGCCTTGAACTTGACAGTTCATTTATAATGACTTTTCATTAAAAAAAAAGCACTTCTTTACGGTGCTCTCTGCTCTTATTAATCCCAATAATTTCCACTTACCCGTCCATTCTTGAGTCGCGAGCTCGTGGCTGCTTGGTGACGTCGCCGTCTTCTGACTACAAGACAGACGAGGGGCACCGCGTCATAAAAATATTAAAGTGACATGGATTCATGGATTTGGCTGAACAAGTCGGGTCAAGCGAAAGTTTAATTTACCCGTTTCGTCGTCCTCATTCAACGTCACTAATAGCGAGTTATAGTTTTTTTGCTTGTTTGTTTGGTTGTTTTGGTGAAAACGTTGCCAGCGCTACGTTACTCTAATATGACCTTTGAATTCATATTTATGTTCCTGATACGACTCGGGTCTATTGCCGCGCGGTAAAAGTTGTGACTCTCTCCTACGGAGGCCTTTGAGGGTCACGGTAACTTTTGCGTTCCCTCGCAATGCGCTTGATGCAATATTTACTGCTATATTTTGTATTTCGTCGCGATGATGTCAATTTAAAATTTGAAACGTACACACATTTAAAGAGTCTCAAGTGAGAACGTGTTTATTATTAACTATTTGTTGCAAAAAAAAAAAAAAAACCAAAAAAACCCCTGAAATAATCAGATTGAATTGGGTATATCTGTAGGGTTTTTTTTATTATTATTATTTTTGTATAGCTAATTTTTGGGGATTTGGATTTCCTTGCAGACAAACCAGAGATCCTTTTTTACCAACTTGGAGCACCCCAGGGCCATGTGTTTGGTCCTCACTAATTGTTTTTTTTTTTGAGCCTCTGTAAATAAAAATGCCAATTTTGTGTCTCATCCTGTGGATAATCACACAATACAAATAAAACGTTTAAAAAAAGTCTTTTGTCACCCTGTTGTACTCCAACTCACATGTTTTCACATCTTTGTCATCCACCCATCTATGAAAGACTGACACAGAAAGACTTATAATTTGCATTATGTGCAAGTGTAAAAAAAGAAAATGAATGTATACATAATTCTACAATCCATTTTTGAAGACAGATTTCTCCACGGTTCAGCGTCACCGGATAAAACGACAATTGGATTCGTCACAATGACCAAAAATATGACTTAATTGTCATTTTATGTAACAACTGTGAGATATCATGTTAACGCAACTGTTTATTACCCAATAAAAGGTGTGAAATAGAAGATCTAATTGGATCAACATGAAGTATTTTTTTCAAGACTCCAAACTTCAGCTGAGCTAATTATTGCTCCTTGGGTTCCTGATGTGTGATCAGGAACGTTATTAAGAGTCTTACTTTAGGACAAGTTTATGGGTACACTGATTTATAGGTGCCAGTATTCTTAATTTTGGGAGATCATGTGAAGCTGATCTTATTTACCTCAGCACAGGTCTAAAAATAACCACCATCCTTTTTTGAGGTTTGACTGATAGGCTGGGCCACCAGGTCGTGTCGTTCATGTTTGCGGCTTAACAGTAATCACCCCATTTTTGTGACTTTCTTGCTATATTTTCCAACATTTCAGACAAAAAAAATAAATAAAAAAATTGTATTTTTGCTTAGTTTTTTAGTGCAAACATTTTAGTTCACTTCAAATAATACCAAACTAAAAAAACAACTTTCCAGTAAGATATAAAAGCTTGTTTAGAGTCAATAATTTCTAATGAAGCGACAAAATGTGAAAAAGTTCAACAGGTATGAATGCTTTTGCAAGGCATTGTAAATAAATAAGAGTACCTGAAATTGTTGGTCGGAGAAGCAGCGGAAGGGGCAACAGGGGCCCTGAATTTGGATTCTGGAGGCTAATTGTGGGCCGCAGACCTCCAGGAGAGGGGTAAACATGCTCCACCTGACCACACAATCAGGCAACACACAGCAATAAGCAACCTGGCAGAAACACGGTGCAGTACTTCACACGGTGGCACGGCCTGCCCTGATGCTTGGGTAACCAAATTTTCAGCTGTCGTGATTCTGCAGCACAAAAACCATTGTCTGCTCAGGGCCAGAAGATTAGCCAAATCATTCTCTAGGACAGACCTTTCTTCATTGATATTCTCGTGAAATGCAGAAATTGAGCAGTCTGGCTCAACTGTCTCATTTTTACAGTCATCTTCCCCAGCCGGGGAAGGATCTGGCGGGGGAAGCAAACCTCCCCATTCGGGGGAGGTTTGCTTCTCAGTCCGGGAAGGATCAAACAGAAACGAATCAAACATATCATAATACATCGTTATTAAAAATAGACTAAAAATTATTCCGTTTCTGAGACATAAAGAAAAAACAAATCAAATATAAAATAGAGAAATAATTAAAAACACATCCACTGAAAGCAAACAAAGGAATGAAAAATAATATAAAAAATAATAATAATAATAATGGGAACGGTTTCTCTTCATGAGTACTCTGTAAAATCAAAGTTGAGGCTTCAAAATCCACTATCGCCTCTTCATAAAAAACTTCATCAACTGGTGATATTTGTTGTTCTGGATGATTATCCAAATCCTTCTGTAGGGCAGAGCCTTCTTCATTAATATTCTTGTGAATAGAAATTGTCTCATTTTGACTGTCATCTTCCCCAGCCGGGGAAGGATCGACAAGATCTTTCCCCGGCTGGGGAAGGATCTGGCTGGGGAAGCAAACCTCCCCAGCCGGGGAGGTTTGCTTCTCAGAAGGGGACAAATCCAGAAAAAAAGCATAGAACATATCATTATCGAAGAAGCAAACCTCCCCAGCCGGGGAGGTTTGCTTCTCAGTCCGGGGACGATCAAACAAAACGAATCAAACTCATCATAATGGGGCATTGCTGAGAAGGAAACCTCCCCAGCCGGGAAGGTTTCCTTCTCAGCCGGGGAAGGATTAAAAAGAAAAGCATCAAACTGGTCATATTCAGAGAAGCAAACCTCCCCAGCCGGGGAGGTTTGCTTCTCTGTAGGGGAATTACTCAAAAGAAAATCGTCAAAATGATCAAATCCAGAAGAGGTGCTCTGGTCCTTCGAGCTACCTCTTTTACCTTCACTAGGTGGAAAGAGCTTGTCAGAAAGTTTCCTGATCCCTGTAGTCATGAAATAATCAACAGTGAAAGCAAGGGGGACACCGACAGCGAGTAAAACATCTGCCATCGTAAAAATCCTTGCAATGAAACTGTGCTGATGTGTGAAGAGCAGGTTGGATATGGACTGATTCTTTGAAACACAGTCATTCATAACCTCAGACGTTCTTTGATCTAGATCCGCATGTCATAGATGAGGTCATAGCTACAATGAGCTCATTGAAGTTCCGGGTGAATGTCTTGCTTCAGCTTGTTGCTATGGAAATGATCAGTTTAGTTCTGCATGACCCAAACTATTAACCCTTTTCAACAGCGTCACTTAATCATTCGAGGCGCCATGGTGGACGTCGGAAGTGAGGAATGAGAGTATTGAACTGAGCGACTGAAATGGATTTCCAAAGTTTTTTGGAGTTGGCGTGTTTTTTCTTTATTTAAAATATATATATATATATGAAAATATATATTTTATTATATATTTTTTTAATAAGTAGGACTGCAAACATTTCTTCTGGTGGTGAGCATTTTACTGACAGAACAAAATTATTCCTGAAATAAAAATGGGTTTATAATTTTTATAGTTCATGTACTGTACAGGGAGCGCGCAAAAATCAGACCTCTTGTTACATTGAGCTAGTGGTCTGTATTTTGAGTGTATAATGAGCCTGACAGCCAATTATTAATTAAGAAGAACCAAATTCACCGTGAGGGCAGAAAAACAGAAAGATTAAACAATCACTTAAACTTTACATTTGGAGTACTTTCAATAGGAACAATAACATCAGAAACATTATAAACACTGTAAAACGCCAAGTCCTACGAAGCATTTTTGTGTAGTTTTTAGTATAAATATCTTAGTACCCTTGAAATTAGACTAAACTAATTTACAAGTTGCTTTTCAACAAGATGTTTAAAGTAAAAATCCTTAAATATTGATTAAAAAGTCCTACTTCCATCCCCCAACGTCACTTGATAATTGTGTTATCGAAAGAGTTTTGGTCGTTCCTTTAGTTAAAATAAAAGTTTAAGATTTTGGGCCTGCAGAGAAACGTTTTTGTTAGTTTTTTTCTTTATATTAGCCTAATGTTTTGCAGATATCCCTCTTCACTTTTTCAGAGCACACCTACTGATCTTAATGACTGTGCTTTAAGTGTTCCTCTGCTCTTCCTGCCAACACATGTCAAGCTGCTGTGAAAAAAAAGAAGCCCGTTATGAGGTCCGAGAACAAGACAAGAGTTATATTAATAAAGCCTGCAGTCTACTCACAGTGAATAAGCTCATTCTTCTCGGATAACTATAGAATCCACGAGCCAGACATTTTGATTAATGCGCTCCTTTAATTATTCCCGGCAGGACTTTAAATAAAAGTGGGAGGGAGAAAAAAAAAAATCCATGCCATTCTCCACTGCTCCTCTTCTCCTTCACTTGTCTAAAAGGCCAGAACAAACATTAAAAGGGTGTTTCTGTAAAGGTGAACGCGTGGTGCTCTATCTGGACAAAATCAAATTTATCTCTCTCCTGTTGTAACTCGTCAGGTTGCGATTTTCAGAAGAATAGTGTTATTTATGTGTTCAATCAGATGGCTGCTGTCTGCTAAAAAAAAAAAAATCAAGAAAAACCACTTGGAATAATATTCAATTTTGATTTTACGAGCAGGAAAAAAGCATATATACATAAATACAGTCGAATATCAAAACAAAGTACTTGTAAACACAAGAACTAAGATTTTATTTCCCTTATTTAATTTTTCTTTTTTTTTAAATGTCAGAATCATCTGCCGTCCGGTGATCCGGTAGAGAGCAGCTCAGACGCTCATGGGCCCGTCTGCTCGGGAAGCGTGGGAGAGGGCAGGGCTGCGGCGCTGCCCGTCCAGGCCCAGACGTGTGATAATCTGAGATGACCGAAGGCTCCCCATGTGGCCTCTGGCGCGGGACTCGTACAGCTCAGACGATGTCTTTCTATACCTGCAAAAACACTGGCTGTTATTGCACAACATCCTGAAGAGAAAAAAAAAAAAGCAGTGCATCATTTTTGATTTGTGGGAAAAGAACGGATTGCGAAATGTTTTGCAAATCCGGCACTCCAGCCCTCTTTTCTCTAATACCTCTAAATTACCTAGATTATAATTTTGCTAGACAATGTAGCAAAATTAGGACAAAATCTATAAGAACAAGTAGTTATGACTCACGTCCTCAGGAGCAGAGAGGACAGAACCACTGACAGAGAAGAGGCGGCCATGGCAGCCGATCCCATCCACGGCTGCAGGACAAGCCCAATGGACATAAACACACCTAAACACACGCCGTAGGATGAGTTTGCTGCTCTTCTACTTAATACAGAACACAAATTCTGACAGACAGTTTCAGGCCTCACCTGCAGCCACTGGAATCCCGAGCAGGTTGTAGATCAGAGCGAAAACAAAGTTGATCCTGATCCTGCGCACTGTCCTCTTGGACAGCTCGATGCTGGCCACCACGTCCAGCAGGTCGTTCTGCAGGGGGGGACAAACCCTCAGGTTGAGACCCCTCCAATCCAACAGAGCGAATCCACACCGCCGGCCCACCCACCCTGATCAGGACGATGTCGGCCGCTTCGATGGCCACATCCGTGCCGGTGCCGATGGCGATGCCGACATCAGCGCAGGCCAAGGCGGGCGAGTCGTTGACGCCGTCCCCCACCATGGCCACACGATGCCCTCGGTCCTGCAGCTCCTGAACTTTGGCCACCTTATGCGATGGCAGCACCTCTGCAAACACTTTCCTGATCCCCACCTGCAGTCACGTGTAAAAAAAAACAAGCTAAACTGTTATCAAAAACCCAAATCTATTACAACCCTGATACACACTTTAGTCTGTATGAGAGTTTCACCTGTGCAGCTATGGCTTTGGCCGTACGCCTGTTGTCGCCGGTTATCATGGCCACCTCGATGCCCATGCTGCTCAGGGTGTGCACCGCTAGCGCTGACTCCGCTTTCACCGTGTCTGCGATGGCCAACATGGCACACAGAACACCTGCAGAAAGCGCAGACAAAGTCAGTGTGGTGAAAAAGACGCGACGGAGCCCGTTAGTCCGTACCTCACCATCTATAGCCACCAATATGGCGGTCTGTCCTTTGGTTTCGTGGCTCGACATGGCGGCATCGACATCCGCTTTGATGTGGTGGCCATTTCTCCTCATCCACTCTCTGTTCCCGATCAGGACAGAGTACGATGCCCCCTCAGCTAGAAGCACACCGAAGGAAATGTATTTTCATATTTTAAAAACAGAATTGAGATAATATGAAGATTTTCAGATGTGTGCTAATGAAACACCGAGGTGGAAAGACAACAGCTGTGACCTTTCAGAAGCAGTTTTCGCTGCTTATGAAATCTGGATGGGTTATAAGGCAAATTTGAAGCCCATCATTCTACATTATTGACGAGAGATAAAAAAATAAAATGTCAAGAGTTGCACTGAAGTTTCTATAGGTTGCTTAAGTTCATAATTAGAATTTTCAGCCACTGTTTATGTCCGGACTCACCTCGTCTGGCTTCTTCTGGTGCAGAATTATGATGCAATAATGAGATAAAAAGTCGGATGAAGTGCGACATGACCATTCAAACTTTGCTTTGAAAACAATGGGATGCGTGTCCGACTTTGTTCTATGTGTGGACGCCGCGCAGGTCGGATTTGTTTGGGAGGAGGGAAGAAAAGACCGGAGTTTGACCCGGAAGACCGCCATGAAAAAGTTGGACATGGGTCACATATGAAAAAATGTTTTAGGCATTTGGGCTAACACCATTTAGCCTTAATGGCCTTAATGGCTAAATGTCCATTTCCATCATGCTTGAAGAAAAACCGACATGGCATTTTAAAACAAAGCCAATTAATTGGTTTAAAGTTGATCATAACCTTCCTGAGTACTACAAGTATAATGGAACAGGAAATCCACGGTTTAGTGCATCTATGAATGAAGGGAAAAAGGTTGATTGACCTGTGGGGGTGGGCTCCTCGGCAGCCAAAAGCCTGCTTTCGTCTGTGGTGACTCCCGGCAGGAAGAAAACCTCGTCGCTCCGCTGCAGCAGATGCTCCACGTCGGACACTCGGCAGCTGATCCCGCAGCCGGGAACCGCCTGGAAGTCCTGGCAGCGTCCCAGAGCGTCCGAGCCCAGCTCCTGTGGGGTTGCACCGCACGTTTTACTCGCAACGCAGGTCGCTGGGCTGCACACACGCACAAAAAAAAAAAAAAAAAAAAAAAAACATCTCTTACGTCTTTGCAGTATTTCGCCACTGCCGCGCCCAGGGGATGCTCGCTGCTGACCTCTGCGGTGCCGACCAGCGCCAGGATCTTCCTCAGGGGCATGCGGGCCATTTCCCACAACACCAGCACGCGGGTCACCTTCGGTACCCCGTTTGTTATCGTGCCGGTTTTATCGAACATCACCACATCGATCTGTAGGAGAAAGCTCAAGGACACTACACTTTTACAGCACAAAAAGTATTTAAAATGGAGACAAAAAAATTGTACCTGAAATGAAACATTAATGAAGCAGCATAGCCCTGTTTTAGGGACGATTTAGCACCCCTAAATAGGACAACTGCCCCTCCGTAAAACACCGCTAAATGTCACGTCTTGTATTGAACCGATACATAACTGTCCGATAAACACACCTGTCACACACATATCGACACTAAATGTAACAATAACGACTGTTATGGGAACAGATCCAATATCTGTGTCATTCCTTAGACATTGAGAGTAATGGACGCGTGAAAACCATTAAATTAACAAAAATGATTAATCTATAAAAATTCTGCAAATACAAAAATGACAGCTACAATTTACAATTTCTTTTTTCCTTCTTTCTAACTATACACAGTTTACACGGTCAAAAACTGTATTGCGCCGTGTCTAAATAATCCGTTTAGTGCACAAACTGTCAATAGAATTTTTCTTTTATAACATATACCCAACAGGAAGTACGCCTTTCAAAATAAAACCAAACTTCACAATAAAAATTGTCTGAACAAATAGTCTTCTTATGTAAGTGTGACAAAATAAAAAACAAACCATCATACAAATTACTTAAATACTTTCTATTTATGGCTCTCACACTGACCAACATAAAACACAGGAAATATTAAGGTCAGCTAAATTCTCGTGGAGGGTGAATGAAGGATCCCTATGACGTCATAGTCTTTATTTGTTCGTTCTTTTCCCCTAAACTTCACTTTGCACTTTTTCCTCGCAGAGCCAGTCGTTCTCACTATCGTTGCAGAAAACCCAAATCTCAACTTAACGAATCATGATGCCAACTAGTCAGAGTTCAGCATCCGAGACACAGATTGTCACTGTGGAAGCCCTGATGCCTGCGGTCGACCCGTTTGTCAGAAACCTCACCCCCAAGGAGAGGAAGGGACTGGCAAACGGGAACCCAGAACCCAGCACCACCTCTGCTCTACAGGAGACCTATGGAACCATCTTGGAGCTGCTGACATCCATCGTTCTGCTTGGTGCCCCCAAAGAAAGACGGACCATGAAGGACCTGAAGGCGGCCGTGGGGAACGCAGTTCCCGAGACTTTTGCAAAAGTTCTGGGCATTGACAAAGACTTGGACAATGAACACAACCAAAACTTGAACCGACTGATTGTGCAACATCTCCTGAAAGTAATCAGCTTGGACTCAGAACATGATCAGAAGGTGGCGAGGATGTCCATCATCAGCCATATGGTTGATGAAACACTCTATATAATGGAGGACTTTTTGTATGGATCATATTCACCTGAACCAGCCGACGTCAAAACCTGCAGACCAAAGAAAAAATCTAAAGGTCTAACAGGAACAATTAGGAGATTTTTTAGAAATTTAATTGGCAAACGTTCAGCAAAGGTGGCTCCAATGATCATTATTGAAGAACCGGAAACATCTTTGAGTCACGACAAGGAGAACATCGAGGTGGAAGACAGTGAAATGTCAGCAGCAGAAGCTTCTTCAGGAGACAGTGATTCTGACATTGAGGGATGTGAAGAAGATTATCAGCTGGCCACAGACATCAAAACTCCGGTCATGGTAGACGTCGAGCCTCTGGACGTCCCAGAAACTCCAGAGCTTGGGGAAGCAGAACCTGAGGATGTCGAGCCGTTTGTTCCTCTGGACGTCCAAGAGGAACCTGAGGATGTCGAGCCATTTCTTCCTCTGGACGTCCAAGAGGAACCTGAAGCTGTCGAGCCATTTGTTCCTCTGGACCTCCAAGAGGAACCTGAGGCTGTCGAGCCGTTTGTTCCTCTGGACGTCCAAGAGGAACCTGAGGCTGGGGAGCCATTTGTTCCTCTGGACTTCCAGGCAACCCCAGAGCTTCTGGAAGAGGAACCTGAGGTTGAGATCTCACCCCTGGAGCCTTTCGTTCCTCAGGACATTACTGACATGGAGAAATCTGAGCCAGAGACTCTTTTTTTACTTGTTCTTGTTTAGTTGTTAGGTCTTTTTTATACTTATTCTTTTTTAGTTATTAGGTCTTTTTATACTTGCTTTTTTTTAGTTATTAGGTCTTTTTATACTTGTAACCATTAAAAAAAATCTCTTCAGTTCAACCTTATGACTGGAGATACATTGTTGATTTTACCATTATAAAATAACTTGTAATTAACTATTCGGTAAGATCAATGTCTTTTGCACAGGTGGTGGAGCGTTCTGAAAACAATATTTAAAAATAAAAAAGGGACATACCGTGTGACCTAACACGTTATGTAGCCATTTTTTTACTGTTTAATTAGTAATTTTAAATGTTGAAAGTGTTCTTGGGTGTTTTGAAAGGCGTTGTCAAATACAATGCGTTATTACAATTATTAAAACGCGGCTAGTACAGAAAATATTGTCACTAGCGCCCCCTTCATTTCCGGAATGCAATACTCCCATTTCCATATAAGGTGTGAGACTGACAGCGGGCCGCCCCGCCCTTTTGCTGCTGAGGTGAAAAGTTAGCAGTCTGAGCTAATGGGGAGTTTATGTTGTCCGCCATTATGAATATGTATGAATATGTAGCCCATGTTACTAAGATCAAAGTACATTAAAAGAAGCTAAGAAAGAAAAAACTTTGTATTTTCTGTCCTGGAGGGTTTACTAAGAAGCTGGTTCAGTTGTAAAGCAGGTTAAGTTAACCTTGTGGTTTAGGTAAAGCACCTGATGTTCTTAACTAAATGATGCTGCAGGTTTACCTATTATCAGGTTTCATTTTGCCTGCACTTGGTTGTGTACATTATTTTAAGTGCATTTGACAAGTTTACCAAAATATTAAAAAAATGTCATTCAAACTGCATTTGCCTTGTTTTACTTTTCACTTTTCATTACATTACTTGAGTACATCCATTTTTACAGTAATTTCCATACTTAAGTACAAGACATTTCAGATACTTTAATACTTTAACTCAAGTAACATTTCAGTGACTTGGACTTTTACCAAAGTCATATTTTGGAGAGGTACCTATAGTTTTACTGGACTCTGCCAGTAACCCTGCCCTACCACTAAGCTGCTCACGTTCCCAAAAAAGAAAGAAAAACAGGTAATCACGTGATAACTGATGTCACACTTCCCAGGACTTCCGGCTAAATATGGAGGACCTGGCGCACAGAAGTAAACGGATCTTAAGTTTTTATGGCTCCACGGTGATTGCATTGCAGCCACTTGTTATGCTGTAACAGTGATTACAGCACAATAAGAGATTTTTAATGTAATAGATCCTGCAAGGGATGGTGACTTTACACACCGGAAAGGAACCAGCTTGAGCAGCGGACCAATCAGGTGAGCGCAGGGGAAAACGAGGGGCGTGTCCGGAAATGCAGCAGGACGGGAGGGGCCAGGAGAGCGGGTTGCTCTGCTCTGAACCGTTAAGAATTTTTCAAGTAGCTAATCGCTCGGGAGGGCGAAAAGATGGCGGAGAGAGCGGACGCGCTGTGATGAGCTCTGGGTAGCAGCCCTCAACCAGCTAAATAACCTGGCCCTTTACACACCTCTTCAACCCCAAGGTGGACCCCAACTTCCATATTTTACAGTAAGAAGAAAGAATAAGAGTTTTATAAAAGATGTCGGTCGTTAATGAGAAAGATTTCCCCAGTCTGAAGAGTGCTAACGCTGCTAAGCTAAACACGCATAACTACACTGCTGCTGCTAGCGCTGAAACACCGATGGAGACGTCAAAAAATAGCTCCAGTGTAAGACGGCAACTGAATGCAACTCCAACCAAACTTCCACCTGCTAAAAAACAAGCCACTGAGTCAGAGGCCTCCTTGGCTGCCGTCTTAGCAGCCATTAAAAGTTTGGATAGCAAGGTTGATGACTTTGGCAAACAGCTAAAGAAAATTCGGACTTGTTTGCCCGCATTACTCTCCAAGTGGAGCAGAACGCACTCGGCGTGGCTGAATGTAAATCTGCAACGGAAAACCTTGAACAGAAGTTTGCCGTAATGAATAAAGAAAACGCTGCTCTGAAAGAAAAACTCCTGGAGGCTGAAAGATACAAGGCGTCGATGGAACCTGAGGCTGTCGGGCCTCAAAGAGCAAGAAGGAGAAAACCTCAAAGAAAAGGCAGAACAACTTCTCTCAACTATCTTACCACAATGGGCGGACCAGATAGGAGATGTGATCGATACAATCCATCGATTAGGAAGAAAAGAAGAGGGTCGAACCCGTCAAGTCATCCTGCAGTTCACTAGGAGGCGCCATCGAGACACCGTTTTGGAAAGTGACGAAGGATTCAGCAGTGTGCAAAGAACAAGGTCTGCGTTTTGCTCAAGATTTTATGAAGGAAGACCGGCTGGCAAGAGAAGAACTGTGGCCTAAGATCACCAAGGCCAGATCCCAGGGTAAGGTGGCCTTTTACAGAGGTCACATCGCAGTGATCGACGGCAAGGTGATCAAAGCTTCATCTCCTTTCTGAGACTACAGATTACTCTCTGTTTATTACATCCTCCTATTACAGGGTTGAACGGAAAAAAAAAAATCAGCAGTTTTTTTTTTTTCATTTTAACATTGTTTTATATCTCTAAAATGCTTGTCATAGTTAAACTCTTATCTGCATTCCTGAGGTTATTTTTGTTTTTGTTCAAATGAAAAAAGTAGTAGTTTTAAGCTAAGTTCAGTGAAGATTGTGGATGCAGGTTGTTTTTTCCATGTTATAATGTAAAGGCCATTCTCAAACTTTTCAGGGGCTTGCCTTTAGTTCATTCTATTTAAACAAATCCTTTAACTTTAAGGTTTGTGTCTTTAAAAAAAATTAAATTTGTTTCTTTTGTTTTCATTTATGTCTTTAAAAGTTAATCTTAAGTTTTTGTCGCTAAATGTAAGGGGCTTAAGAGAAAATGTCAAAAGGAAGGCAATGTTTATGTATTGTAGAAATAAGAATCCACATTGTGTTCTTCTTCAAGAAACCCATTCAACGGACTCTGATGAAAAGTTC